AGACACTGATGCAATGCTACATTTCTCCAAATCTGATGAAGAAACAAACTCATCTACATTTCGTATGGCCTGAGGGTCAGTACATTTTCGGCAAATTTTCAGTTTTGGGTGAACTGTTTCTTTAATTAAAATGAATGATTATGAATGTAATTCAGATGTATGACATCTCTAAATCTAAAGCTGTCTAGCTCTCTCGCTGTTTTGGGAAGTCTTTATATGAGGCTTTATTTCTTCTGGCTCAGATTCACACAAACACAAGGACAAACACAAAGACCGAGAACACAAAGAGCACAAGAGAGACAAGGAGCGAGGAAACTGGAAGAACTGCCACAGGTGATTCTTTTTATTACTTTTTATTGCAAGGTTTGCACACATCATTACTCCTCGCACTCTGACAGTCAGGATCATTAGTCATCAGAGATTCATTTATCTGTTGTCCTAAAGGAGAAACGTTTCATTTGTTTTGCAGTGAGCACAAAAGCTGTTCTGAGAAGAAGCATCGAGAGAAAGAGAAAGAAAAAGAGCGGCTCAAGCACAAAGAAAAGCAAAAAGAAGAAAAGGTTGATTTAATTGTGCCATACCATAGAGTTACAAAATATAATGAATTAAACATGTGCCTTGTGTCTCTCTGAGTATATTTGAGCATTCTTTATGTTTATGAATATTGTTTTGGGTGTGTTTTTGTGAAGTTTCATAGCTCTGATGGGAAATATCGAGATAAAGAGAATGGCTTTGTAAGGTAAGACAAGTGATGCTCCTCATTTATAAGTCACAGTGTTTTAATTTGCACATTGGAAAATAGAAATTGTGTTATTTTCTATATGCACCAAGATAAACATTTCAGGTTTTTCACCTTGTAATCTGTCAGGCCTCTTGAATGCATTTTTCCTGTGGTGTAATTATCTATCCATCCATCTATCTATCTATCTATCTATCTATCTATCTATCTATCTATCTATCTATCCATCCATCCATCCATCCATCCATCTTCATAGCAACACTCCAGCAACTATCCAAACCAACCTAGCAACCACCCTGGGTACCCTAGCAACCTCATAGCAACACCTTAGCAGCCATCCCGGGTACCCTAGCAACCGCATAGCAACACCCTAGCAACCACCCCGGGTACCCTAGCAACCGCATAGCAACACCCTAGCAACCACCCCGGGTACCCTAGCAACCGCATAGCAACACCCTAGCAACCACCCCGGGTACCCTCGCAACCGCATAGCAACACCCTAGCAACCACCCCGGGTACCCTAGCAACCGCATAGCAACACCCTAGCAACTCCCAGAGTACCTTAGCAACCACATAGCAACACCTTAGCAAGATTATTTTTTTTAATGTTCTTTAAAATGATGTAAAATGACGCATCCCACTGCTTATGTGTTGTTTCAGCTCTCTGTCAATTAAAGTGGAAGAGGACACTGGCTATCATCACCCCATCAAACATGAGAAAGCACTCAAGAGAGAGCGGGATGAAGACGAGTATGTGCAATAAGATCAGTTCCCATCATCCTCGGCACATGCACTCGTTTGTTAAAACCAGAACGATTTCTGTTTGTAAAGCAGGTATGAACACAAACCCAAAAAGGTAAAAGTGGACAACGAGAAGAAAGTGAAAAAACGCAAACAGGAGGAAGATGACGGTGGTTTTGAGGAGAGGGAGGTATATATATATATATATATATATATATATCACTCTTTCTGAACCTTCACTTTAGCTTTGGACTGTTACTCATGGCATATCTGACCCATCCAGGAAAAGAAACCAAAGAAGAGGACGAAAGAGGTCAAGAAAGACACCACTGGAGGGAAGAAGAAAGCCAAAAACGAGCCGGAGGAGAAGTGGAAATGGTGAGACATAATCGAGACAACAATAAAAATGCTGGTCTTTTCTGCAATGTTTGTCTCTGTCTTCCTCTGTTTCTCAGGTGGGAAGAGGAGAAATGCACAGATGGCTCCAAATGGAGGTTTCTGGAGCACAAAGGGCCCGTGTTTCCCCCACCGTATGAACCCCTGCCAGACCGTGTCAGGTTTCATTATGATGGTGAGGAGTGTTGACCTTTGACCCCGCCACCTGTCCGCTGTCACACTCTACTCAAAAATGCTACACAATACTATCCTAAAATAACTAGAGATGATTTTTATACAACCAATAATTTACCTGTAAAAAGTGCTGTTTTCTGTTAAATGTTTAGTGCTGAGGCTTTTTTTTGTTTGGGTGCGGTTTTCTCCAGATGCCTCTATTTATCAGACAACCTAGTGTTTTTTTTAAAGAGATAACTAATCAATTAGAAAAGACAAAAATAAATAGCTGTCAAAATTATTGGTAAAATTGATTACGAGTCAGTTTCTAAAAAAATGTTGTCAGTGTGTATGATGAGGATATCTTCAGATTTTGAGATAAGTGTCATGTGGTCCACAGGAAAGGCCATGAAACTGAGCCCTGGCGCAGAGGAAGTGGCCACGTTTTACGCTAAAATGCTTGACCATGAGTACACAACTAAAGACATATTTAGAAAGAACTTCTTTAAAGATTGGAGGAAGGTAACACACTTTTCAACACATTACTTCCTTTTCCTTTACTGCCAGTTTTAAAGGAATAGTTTTATCAGCAGCTGCAAATGCGCAAAAGTTTAACTGTTCTTATAGAAACACTGCCTCACAAATGCTCCTTGTTAGGAAATGACGTCAGAGGAGAAGTCAAAAATCACAGAGCTGAAGAAGTGTGACTTCACTGAGATGCACGAGTACTTTAAAGCGCAATCCGAGGCCAGAAAACAGATGTCAAAAGAGGAGAAACAGGTTAGTGTGTCACTGCACCCGAATCTACACAAACACACACACACACACACACACAGACACAAACACACTCACACACACACACACACACACACACACACACACATGCTGCTGCTGAAATAGATGCTATTTCAACTCTGGTTCTGTCGATCAGAGAATAATACTCACATTTCGTAATGTTTTCACAGAAAATCAAAGAAGAGAACGAGCGCATTCTGCAGGAGTACGGATACTGCGTCATGGACAACCACAGGGAGCGGATCGGGAACTTCCGGATCGAGCCGCCGGGTCTGTTCCGCGGCCGCGGGGATCATCCTAAGATGGGCAAACTGAAACGCCGCATCCGCCCCGAGGACATCATCATCAACTGCAGCAAGTCAGTCGCTGAGCTTTCAGTGTTATTACTGTTTTCATGTTGCAGAATAATAGTAGAGTTAGAGAGTAAAACTAGGGATGGGCGGTATGGCCGTATATATCTTTACCACCATATAAAGTGGCTATCGTTAGAGATTTTGCTAAATCGTTGATTTCGCAGTATGCAAATATATTCTCGTAGCACAGTACTGCTTAAAAGTTCTACACGCCTAAGAGTGATAAGGAAACATGCATGAATGAGAAAATAAAGAGTGGAACGTACTAGGGATGGGCATTTTTCAAAAATATTGCATTCGAATATTTGAGCTCACAAAAAATGAATATTCGAATATTCGTTTATTTAAATGACTTTTAATGAGAAAGACGTTTTTTGTTTGTTGTTTTTTTGTCAAACTTTATTTTTGTCACCATTTCCGAATAATCTTATAACAGCAAGCTTATAAATTAGGCCTATATCCTGTGTTTTTTTCTATTTGAAAACATTAAACATTGTGTGCAAAAAAAAAAAAAAATCTACAGAAAAAAGCATTTAGCGCAGAGCGAATGAAAAAACTACACTCTTTACACTCAAGTCGGCATGGTGTTTGCATTGTTTCACATGTTCTTGTTGAAAAAAAAACCCAACAACATGTAGGCTACTGTATATGATACACTTTGGTTGCTGTGATACAGAACAGCCGCTGAAGTAATGTGGCAGACGCATCATGAATGAAATGTTGCATGCATTATTTTTTAAATTTAATATATCAGTATTAACTGATATATGTAGTAGCACAAATCGATAGCAGAAAATGCTACCTATCAGACTGTGCTACCAGCATCTTATTCATGTGGTTTGAGGCTTTTTTTAATGTCCATACCTACCCCTACCCTAAACTTACCCTTAAAACAATATAAATATATTTTTGGTAGCACAATCTGATAGGTAGCATGTTTCGTCGGTACACCGGCTGTAGAGAAAATAAGTGGTCTCTCGGCTCGCTCGGAGTCGGGGTACATCTGCACCAACCTGCAGTAGTGAATGCAGTGATGTGCCGCTGATTTTCTTCATTCAACGTTCCAGTGTTTGCATTTCAAGATTCCTAATTTCAGTGATAACTCAGTGCCACTTGACAGAGTTTGCGTGCTCAGGACTTATCAGGGATTTACAGCATTCACGGCCAGCAAAGCAACATTTTAAATAAATTCTAATAGTGTTTTTATTTTTCGAATAATTAATGCAGATAGAATATTCGAATATGCAACTATTTGTGCACACCCCTAGAACATATGAGAAGTTATTAAGCTCAGTGTGCTCGCGCTGACTGACACACACCTGAAGCGCTCGCACAGAAAGCGTCTCTCTCTGACAGCATGCGATCGTGAACTCAGATCTCTTTCGTGTCTTATTGCGCTTGAACAGTCAAATACACACACAATTATGTCAGAATGGCCGTTGAGTGGAGTATTGACATAACGCAGGACTTGTCCAAATACCCACACTTGCGGTCTGGCCACTTGAGTGCGCATGCATGCAACAGAGGAAGTAAGTGCGCAAGACTGTCCCAGGTCTTAAAAACGCCGAAGCGCAGTGCCCTTAACGCACACTGAATCCACACTATCTGGAATACCGCTTTTTGCCGAGATCTTGTGAGAGGTTTTTAATTTTTTTGCATTAAGTCCTGTGTTTCTTTCTTTTTTGAATTATTGCTTGAGCAGTCACATTTCGTTATGTCTTTTCAGACACCTAAGTTTAATTTCCTTAATTATAGCATTTCTAGTGCTATTTTTAAACGTTTAGTCATGTATGTGTGAAAGGGATTCAAAATGAATTGGTTCTGATTAAAAACGGTAGGCTATTTTTTTCGTTACAGTTCCCGAGTTACCAATCAGAACGAAATAAAACATTACTGCTCCATTTATTCAGAAACAAAAGTCATATAAAATGCTATTTGTGTAGCCTATTTAAATTTTCATTATATTAGTCTACAGCAAACGTTATGGCGCTGTCACCACTGCACTCCGACAGATGACAGAAGAACTGCCGAGAAATTCAAGCCATTGTAATTTCCTTATCCATTTGACACAAAACTACTATAATTAAACTGTGTATATAAAATAATTTTATTCTGTCATATTTGTAATTTTTTAAATGACATTTTTTATGTAACATTAGTTGTTCTATTCGTTCCGTATTAAAATAGCTATTCGTTATGTTCATATATATTCGTTATGAAAAATGTCAAAATTCTTTATAACAAATTTTAAGAAAAAGTTACAAATTGAGAAAATAGAAGAATAAAAAATAATTCTTGATACTGTCTTTAAAATGAGAGAAATCACTGACATTTAGACAATTTAGCCGAATTTTTACTTTATTCCACTGCAGAAAAAACGAAAATGCCATTTAACTTGCAATGTTAACTTGTGAAATAAAATAAAGATAAGAAATCTTTCAAGAAAATCAGAACAAGATGTGATCAAGAAAAATATTTGACAAAATTACAAAATGAACCTTTTGACAGTGAATGCATAGCCGCATATACGATCGCTGGTGTCAGTCGCAAATATTTATTTGTTTATGTTTAAAAAACTCTTTGTGGAAACGACTAGTAACGACTGGTTCTTGAATTCTAAGATTATAATCTTTAGACACCACACACTATGCGATTTTTCTGCCGAATGCAAACAGACCCAGGTCCGTCTGGGCATGATCCGTCGTCAAGGCCAAATTACATTCATAATCGGCTTGACAGTCGTGTACTGTAGTGTGTTCTCGGCTTAAGAGTTAAATTCTCTCCCCATTAATAAAACATGATTTAACCCAACACAAGAAAAAGGGAACTTTGAGGAGTCACCAGACCAGGATATGGTGAGTACACAGCATGCAGGGTCACTGTTTGCAATGTGGAGATTAATGCAGATTTGAAATAATAAATTACAAAATGCATAACTTCAACTTGTCTCTGCGTGGTTTAAACATATCACCGGGGAACTGTGGTAGACATAACACATTGCAATGACCACTGATATGTGCACCTATCTGCAATCAACACAAACCCCATGATATCTTAAACAGTTTTTTATCAGTAAATGTTATAGGATAATGAACCAGATCAAAAATAATTGTATCTTATGCCTGGTAAACTGTACCATTGTCAACAGAAACACAGAACCATAACTAACAAATGTAAAGAAACATAAGACAGTTGTTTGTATTGCGGTAGTGATGACATCATCTGAGCACCCGTCATCACAAATCTATTGTAGAGACTACTGAATAGACATTCAGAAGTTTATTTTAAAATGCAAAGTCTTGAAAATGAAAATAAAGCTCTGTAAACACTTGCATCGGGTAATGAAAAGTGCTACACACTTGTGGTCTTCACGCCCACTTGAAGACTTGGGCCAAATACAGGAAATACGTCATGCAAGTAGACAAGTGGTCAAGTGCAAAGACCGTAAGTGTGGGTTTTTCAACAAGTCCACAGTTGGTTATGTGTTAAATTATCGTAAACAGTTGGGTGAAAACCGGATGTGTGTCAGTATATTGGATCTGTGCCGTCGGTCTTAAAGGGACATCAGCCTAATAAACCTGCTGCTGTCTGTCATTAATGTTAATCAAACAACACAAGATAAAGAGAAAATCACTCACTGCACTTGACTGAATCACTTTTGGATCTTTAATAATCCATTCACTTTGCTTCATACTGTGTGTGAAGACTGGGCAGTATTTTAGTTTTTGTTCTATTGTGTTTGTAATTAGCTCATTTGTTCTTATTATTAATAATAAAAATAAATAATAATAATAAAAAAATATATATATAGCAAAATAAATAAATATATATATATATA